TAGAGGGAGATTGCATGGGCTTTTTGTTAGCTGTTACGGCGTCAAGCATGGTGCGTTTTACAGTCGTCAAAAAGAGTAATAAAGAACACGAGAGTAATAAAGAACACGGCAGCAATAAAAACTGAAGTCTATTTGAGAGATTTCCGCGTTGATCCTACGAGTAACTTCAATTTGATAAGTGCGCTGTTCTCATTGGTGCACACCCCCAAATTCCAAGATGGCACAGAGGAGGGAGCACCAATAAGGTTCATTAGCGGCCGAAAGGTTTTTCTTGCACGATTTTCTTGTCTAACCAGTTCGTATGAAACTTGATATCTTATATCCACCTAGGTTGCCGATAAATTCCAAAATTCGCCTTTGATTACGATGCATGTGGTATGTGACTTCTTCCGTAACGACTGGCTTCAGTGTCTGTGAAACCACCAGTTTGCTCACGGTTTTTGCTTTCAAAGGAGGATGCCAAAACGAATTGCTTCTGTTCTCAGTGACTTGAAAAACGACTCAAACCTCGAGTATCAGACAACTGCCTTTGACATGAATAATTTCGGCATGAAAGATACGCTTTCTTCGAGTGCGAAGGGTTCAGTAAGTACAGTGCCATTGACTCGTGGTCGTGTTCGCGACATTGAGGTCGTGGTCAACGTTTTTAAGACTAAATTTCGAGTGGATTATGTTTCACATTGATTTGCCAGATTAATGTCAGTCCCACCTTTTGTGGGATGCAGAGTCGAGCAATTAGGCCGATGCCCATGTGCATCGACTTCGCAGCCGGCTTTAATAGCATTAATCATATAAGTATTAGTAAATGAGTTTGGGTGAGTTTTTACCATTTAATCCTAGCAATGTTCGACAGTCCTTTTTCTAATGTAAGTGCTAATTCTTCTGAAGAGAGAAGCTGGAGATTCTTACGAACTGTACCGCCAAACCTCTTCTCTCTGGTCCGCGAAGCCATATCGCTTCGCCAGAAGGTAGTCGCCGCCCGTCAATAGCTCAAGTTCCTCCAACGATGCAGGACGACCGGCGTGCTGTTCCGCTTCATCACAAATAAGAAGATCGGATCAACATGCCGTCTTCCCAGAAGATCATCCAGTGATAACATCTATTTGTCACTCCATTTTAGATGTTATTATTAGGGAAAAAGGCATGTATTGTATTCCTCGCTATTGAAGTGCGAAGCGAAAGAGAGAGCATGCCAACGTACTTGCCTGGTCAGACTTGGAGGAGGATTGAGGGTGAGTCAAGACTGATTTGCGACACTATTCGATCTAGGGCCAAATTGACTCTTTGTGCAAAATACGACAGACTGCTCGGTACTCGTCGGGGAGACAACAGTAATCGTGAAAACAGCGGCATCGCGAACCACCATCACACCAACGACACAGTTCAAAGTGGCGAACGACATCAACGGGTCATTGTTATTGGCGACACTCAGCTTTCCTCTAATGCTTTGAGCTTTGTTAAGTCTTGGTCCGTCCTTTTCACCAGCTCAGAACATACTGCACAAGTGTTTCGGAAAGTGGTTAGGGTGCAAAGGCTAAGGGATCTACTGCGCATGAATAGCGAGCGTCGCGAAAGACCGCAAATCATGCGCCTTTATCAAGGATTGCCTATGAGTGTACCGTTTCCACACACATTCCATAGAGTTCAGCCATCACACGAAGTCGATGTTAAGTTCAGAATGTTATCAGCTGGTATTTCAGCCGTTTTGAATCGTTACAGACGGTATCGAAATACAAACCTAACACGCGAGTAATGGTTGGGGTTCAGAGAACTGCGTGAGCTAAGAACTAACGGCACTATATCCGTGAGCGATGAGGGTGGTGAATTCGTAGTTATGACACAATCTCTTGACCGTGCCATAACGGAAGTCCATTTGCGGGACTCTAGCGTTTATCGCCGCGCAACTGAGAAGGACTTTTCATCGCAATGCAAACGTCTCAACCATACGTGGTTGTGCGTGGGAAAATCGGCAGGGCTCGATGAACAGTGCTCGGTAGACTCAAATTGGACAACCCGAATTGACCAGTTTTCTACAGCCATTCTGAAGACCCATAAACTGGCGCTTCAGAATAATATGCTGTCAATGCCTGCGGATGCATCCAAGATCCGCCCTATCATTAGTTGTGTGGGGGATCAACCGACAGAACATCATGGTTTCTCAACACTACAGTCAGCCAACTGTTACCCATGGTTCCCTCTCACTTGCCAAATACGAATCACTTCCTCGAAAAGCTACAACACTGTGACATTCCAAACAACGCCGTGGTGGATTGACGTTACATTGCTTTACACTAATGTCCAAAACAAGCAAGCCTTGAAGCATTATCCGAGATGCTTGACAGGCATATTGCTAGCATACGAACTTCAGGACAAGAGAAAGCGCATGTAATGACTCTTATCAAGGAATGCTTGAATTGCGTCATTTTCAAGTGGGTAGGTACATACTATTCACAAATCAGAGGGCTCGCCATGGGTCATCGTCTTGCACCAGTTCTCGCTGTCTGCTTTGGGTAAAATAGAAGAACCGGTACTGGAAACGCTTACCGTTTATGTACTGCAGATATATAGACAACTGTTTCATAATAGCGTCAACACAATCCGAAATGGATGAGTGTTGTCGCATAATGAACGAGCAGTCGCAGTACATTAGACTGACTCGGGGAACCTCGAAGGACGGTTGGTTACCATTCTCAACACGCAAGTTAATGTGTCCAAAGGCGTAACCCGCGTGAAGTGGTACCGTGAAAGCAGCTCGAAAAACATCTTCATTCATGCTACGTCGGCACATCCGGCACCCGTGAAAGCGCTGTTGTTCGCAACATGTTCAGAACGGCAACAGGAGTGTGCGCGGGAGACGTAGAACGAATAGAATCACGAGACGCTTCGAAAATAACCACTGCGGACGGCTATACGGCACCGCCCTCTCGGATGAGACAGCAGATCGGTAGACGACGAGAGGTACCGCGTCGAGACAAGCTACCTTTATGTATCCCCTTCATATCTGATGAAGTCACCGCTGCAACGGAGTGTTGTGAGAGCACAGTTGCAAGACAATGTTCAGTTGGTAAATATACCAAATGGAAACATCGCAGCAACTGGTTCGTAACAGACTCTACGACAAGCAGTGCACATCAGAAAACTGCGTTACATGCCCGCACGGAAAAATCGGCGACTGTGCGCATATGGGAGTTATACATGAAATCCGTTGTCAAGCATGTAACTCCACATACATCGGGGAGATAGGAAGAGCTCTGGCCATTCGTGTTAAAGAACACCTTGCCAGTATGAGACGTGGTACTCTTACATCAGCTCTGGGGATGCATAAAGTTGAGGGCACTATAGTATAGATTCCGAAATAACGTGCAGGTTGCTGGCACATGAGAGGGAAATATCGGGGAGAAAAGCATCAGAGGCATTTTGGATATTCGTTAGAAAACCCAGAATGAATAACCGAGATGAGTGTCCCTCAATCACGAATGACCTACTACCGTTTATACCGCACGGCGAGCTGTAGAATGACAGAGCGTTACGTGCGTCTCCGCATAAGATTTATTATACGGAAACCACGCAGTAGTCCTTATTTACGTCCAAATAACGCTCTCGTGTGGCAGCGGACTTTCTCAGCGCAAACGGTGGAACCGTTGGTGAGTGGATTCACGTTATTGTCGTCTCGAGGGCCTGACACGATGTCGGAACCGCTAGAGTTGACGAGGCGCTTGGTGGGGTAGTTTGTAAATCAAGACCTTGAAACATGTTTAGGCCTCTGAAGACGACGAACCAGTCGAAACATTAGGCCTAATTAATAAAAGTTCCACCTAACAACCTCGTATGGCAGAAGAAATTAACACTCACAACTAACTATGCCGAGGTTGCAAGAAGAGAGAAGCTGGAAAACCTTTTTCTAATATTTATCAGATTAATCATTTGGAATTTGGCTGCGACGTTGACGTACGTGGAGGTAGAGTTTGTCTGCGAGGCACGGAAGGTGCGCCGATTTAAGCGAAAAGATGTCAATCATATCTTCTTGGGTTCTCATAAATTTTGACACAATCTTGATGTCGCCAGTATGTCGGAGAGCAGCGGCACTAGGCACTGAAAAACCGTCAGAATACTGGGAAAAATGTACTGTTCATACACACTTTTCTGGTCACGACGTCTTGTTGGTGTCCAAGCTTTGGGTCATCCACTACGTCTTGGAAAATGGCAGAAATTTTTTGCGGCGCCTAAACCAATGTCGACGTACCCTTCAAATTCCGAAAAGCTGAGAATGTTATTGGCATAACGGGAAAAAATCACTTGTTGAGCATCGTATACGAAGGAAATGTTGCAACTTGTCAGCAACCTTGATGGATATAACAGGAAAGATTTTTGGTAAATGTTTTTGATCGCATAAGTAATTACAACGACTCTGGTTGGTCCTCTTACTTGATCAGTCTTCGCGCGAGTGGATATTCACGTAGTTAAGGGTTATTTCACGGTCTAGGTTCTTCTACTCTTCACTGTCCCATTCTTCAAAATTCAGTCCACATTTTGTGTGGAATTTTCATCATGGGTGGAGCTGGTTCGAATCCCGCCCTCCGGAGTACCGAAGAACGCATACCTCTGAACACCTCTATAGCAGTGTTAGGCGCGAAAACGCATGTCACATGCGTTACTAGTGCACGCGCCAAACAGACCTGTAATTCCAGCTCGTGCAAAGTGTTTTCACTTCTGGTAATCAGGTCAATCTGTCTCTGAACGTCAAAGTACCCTTGGAGGCAGAGCTCTGGCCCAGTCTACCACCACTGAAATTCCTCCATCAGAGTGTGGGCTGAATCTCGTTCCTTTTCTTTTCTCTGCGTGAATCTCCTTCTGGAATGTGAACACTTTCTTTAGGTGAATCAGTTGAAGAAGTATGGCGCAGAGAACGCCATCCTTTTGGTCGAGAAAGGACGTTCATTTGTTGCGCGTTGGCATGATTATTTGGTTTGTGATTCATTTTAGTATTTCGATTCATTTCCAGGTTTATCGAAAAATTTCAGTTTTCTGACTTTTACGATCCTTATATCAATGCAACCGAGGCAATTCCGACATTCTTTCTCTATGCGCATGTCTTTCAAAAAGATATTCTGGTTCGTTTGTTTCCTGCCCACGGCATACTTTGTTAGCCATCAAAGTACGAATCAGACCATGTTTTAGGGCCTCGCCGTGGATCGTAATGTTTCTCGACTTCAACTGCGATTCCATAGACCGCCTGGAGGACCGATAGATCTATCAATGGTGGTGATATGTTTCCTTGCCTTTGGATGTGTATCGGGAGGAGGCGTGTGGGCATTCTTCCGGCACAGGTATTTAGTATAGCTATGGATATACCGAACCGAAATAAGTTGAGGATAACTCCAGAGCCGGAAAGGACAAGTCGATTGTCAATAGAGCCCCAGCTGCAGCCGACTCACCTCAACCAGATTCAAGTGGATGCTCAAATTTCCTTGCCATTCTTATCTTGATGATTATTCTCGTTGGTATTCTCATGATTGGATTCTTTTTCCGTCCCGTTCTGGGTAAATTATCTTTTTCACTTTGCTTTTTTTCAAGTACTGTTTATAATTACAAATCAGAAAAGCTGGGTATTTTAGTTACTTTTTTCAACGTGATGCTGGTTTTGTTTGGATCAATAAGTGTCTATGCTTGTATAATGGCAGTGCTTTCAAATATGTCATTCTGCGAATGCTGTTATTCAACGTTGTTCACTTGGATTCCTCATCATCGTGAGTTTTTTCAATTATCGTTTCAGGAACAGTTTTATTGTAAAGCCAGTCGGATCGGCCGGCTTCGCCGGCCGATCCTCCTTCCGCGTGTGAAGTGGGTCCCTGTGAGAAGTTTTCCATGTGAGGGAGGGCCAGTCGGATCGGCCGGCTTCGCCGGCCGATCCTCCTTCCGCGTGTGAAGTGGGTCCCTGTGAGAAGTTTTCCATGTGAGGGAGGGCCAGTCGGATCGGCCGGCTTCGCCGGCCGATCCTCCTTCCGCGTGTGAAGTGGGTCCCTGTGAGAAGTTTTCCATGTGAGGGAGGGCCAGTCGGATCGGCCGGCTTCGCCGGCCGATCCTCCTTCCGCGTGTGAAGTGGGTCCCTGTGAGAAGTTTTCCATGTGAGGGAGGGCCCGGATCGGCTTCGCCGGCCGATCCTCCTTCCGCGTGTGAAGTGGGTCCCTGTGAGAAGTTTTCCATGTGAGGGAGGGCCAGTCGGATCGGCCGGCTTCGCCGGCCGATCCTCCTTCCGCGTGTGAAGTGGGTCCCTGTGAGAAGTTTTCCATGTGAGGGAGGGCCAGTCGGATCGGCCGGCTTCGCCGGCCGATCCTCCTTCCGCGTGTGAAGTGGGTCCCTGTGAGAAGTTTTCCATGTGAGGGAGGGCCAGTCGGATCGGCCGGCTTCGCCGGCCGATCCTCCTTCCGCGTGTGAAGTGGGTCCCTGTGAGAAGTTTTCCATGTGAGGGAGGGCCAGTCGGATCGGCCGGCTTCGCCGGCCGATCCTCCTTCCGCGTGTGAAGTGGGTCCCTGTGAGAAGTTTTCCATGTGAGGGAGGGCCAGTCGGATCGGCCGGCTTCGCCGGCCGATCCTCCTTCCGCGTGTGAAGTGGGTCCCTGTGAGAAGTTTTCCATGAGGGAGGGCCAGTCGGATCGGCCGGCTTCGCCGGCCGATCCTCCTTCCGCGTGTGAAGTGGGTCCCTGTGAGAAGTTTTCCATGTGAGGGAGGGCCAGTCGGATCGGCCGGCTTCGCCGGCCGATCCTCCTTCCGCGTGTGAAGTGGGTCCCTGTGAGAAGTTTTCCATGTGAGGGAGGGCCAGTCGGATCGGCCGGCTTCGCCGGCCGATCCTCCTTCCGCGTGTGAAGTGGGTCCCTGTGAGAAGTTTTCCATGTGAGGGAGGGCCAGTCGGATCGGCCGGCTTCGCCGGCCGATCCTCCTTCCGCGTGTGAAGTGGGTCCCTGTGAGAAGTTTTCCATGTGAGGGAGGGCCAGTCGGATCGGCCGGCTTCGCCGGCCGATCCTCCTTCCGCGTGTGAAGTGGGTCCCTGTGAGAAGTTTTCCATGTGAGGGAGGGCCAGTCGGATCGGCCGGCTTCGCCGGCCGATCCTCCTTCCGCGTGTGAAGTGGGTCCCTGTGAGAAGTTTTCCATGTGAGGGAGGGCCAGTCGGATCGGCCGGCTTCGCCGGCCGATCCTCCTTCCGCGTGTGAAGTGGGTCCCTGTGAGAAGTTTTCCATGTGAGGGAGGGCCAGTCGGATCGGCCGGCTTCGCCGGCCGATCCTCCTTCCGCGTGTGAAGTGGGTCCCTGTGAGAAGTTTTCCATGTGAGGGAGGGCCAGTCGGATCGGCCGGCTTCGCCGGCCGATCCTCCTTCCGCGTGTGAAGTGGGTCCCTGTGAGAAGTTTTCCATGTGAGGGAGGGCCAGTCGGATCGGCCGGCTTCGCCGGCCGATCCTCCTTCCGCGTGTGAAGTGGGTCCCTGTGAGAAGTTTTCCATGTGAGGGAGGGCCAGTCGGATCGGCCGGCTTCGCCGGCCGATCCTCCTTCCGCGTGTGAAGTGGGTCCCTGTGAGAAGTTTTCCATGTGAGGGAGGGCCAGTCGGATCGGCCGGCTTCGCCGGCCGATCCTCCTTCCGCGTGTGAAGTGGGTCCCTGTGAGAAGTTTTCCATGTGAGGGAGGGCCAGTCGGATCGGCCGGCTTCGCCGGCCGATCCTCCTTCCGCGTGTGAAGTGGGTCCCTGTGAGAAGTTTTCCATGTGAGGGAGGGCCAGTCGGATCGGCCGGCTTCGCCGGCCGATCCTCCTTCCGCGTGTGAAGTGGGTCCCTGTGAGAGAAGTTTTCACAAGTGAGGAGGGCCAGTCGGGATGCGGCCGGCTTCGGCCGCCGATCGCTGCCTTCCGCGTGTGAAGTGGGTCCCTGTGAGAAGTTTTCCATGTGAGGGAGGGCCAGTCGGATCGGCCGGCTTCGCCGGCCGATCCTCCTTCCGCGTGTGAAGTGGGTCCCTGTGAGAAGTTTTCCATGTGAGGGAGGGCCAGTCGGATCGGCCGGCTTCGCCGGCCGATCCTCCTTCCGCGTGTGAAGTGGGTCCCTGTGAGAAGTTTTCCATGTGAGGGAGGGCCAGTCGGATCGGCCGGCTTCGCCGGCCGATCCTCCTTCCGCGTGTGAAGTGGGTCCCTGTGAGAAGTTTTCCATGTGAGGGAGGGCCAGTCGGATCGGCCGGCTTCGCCGGCCGATCCTCCTTCCGCGTGTGAAGTGGGTCCCTGTGAGAAGTTTTCCATGTGAGGGAGGGCCAGTCGGATCGGCCGGCTTCGCCGGCCGATCCTCCTTCCGCGTGTGAAGTGGGTCCCTGTGAGAAGTTTTCCATGTGAGGGAGGGCCAGTCGGACGAATACCCCCCCTAGTAGACAGCCAGCAAAATTTTCTATGCGGCAGTGCAAACTATTGCCGACGGTACCAACCATTTGGGATACTCCCTACGATTATCCCCTCACTATGTTCATCTGGCACATAGCCGAGTGTTAGTTTCAGCTCACTCCCCATTTCGTGGGGTTTTTTCGGATGCGTTTCGAGGGTTTTCGTCCTCGGCATCGTCCACTTCGGCGAACGCTCCGCCCATCACGGTGTGCTTCATTAATTCCGTCCGCCAACTGATTGCCTATCGTTTGCCACTTCTCCCACTCTCCGAGCTTTTTTGGAACCCAACTACGAATTTTTGAAAGTTTCGCAGCAGGCACCGCTTACCTACAGAACGCCCTGCACAGAATGGGTTTGTTTCAGTCATTTCGTCCGCGAACTGATTGCCTATCGTTTGCCACTTTTTCCGCTCTCGGGGCTTTTTTGGAACCGAACTACGAATTTTTGAAATATGAAGCTCACAACTATGCGCACGCGCCGCCCACAGTGGGCGGGGCTTAGCCTAGTTCACGTGTGTTTCGTACATCTTGGCCCATGCCCTACCCATCCCAACCTTGACCCGCCCCCTGAGACTGGCTCTTCAGGTAGTTCCCGAATTTCCGGACAGACAGACAAACTAGACAGACAGACAGACAGACAGACAGACAGACGTCGCCGTTTATATATAGTAGGAAGGATAGGCGTTAGCGTATTCCATTTTTTGACGACTTGGCTCAGTTCTTGAGATGTATTAATTTGAGGGAGTGTTTGCACGCGCCGTCTTCATTTTCCTTTTCCTCCAGTTTTCGTCTATCTCCTGACAATGCCACCTCGATATCTTGGCAGGGCCTATTTCAGAAAATCGGTCCATATCCTATCATTTTGATTTGGGGGCTCTTTACAGTGAAACGTTTCTTTTGAGTGTAGCGGTCAGCAATCCTAGGTGCACACACGTGCACTGCGACTTCACATCAGACACCCCTGAGGCCGCCTTCATGCTTCATGTTTTGCGGGCAGCGTCCATAGAGCCGTACTGCACCGGGCGGTTTTCGAGCGAACGCCAGCGCTGAGGAGACTAGGAAGTACAGATTATCGATTCCAGCGAACGCAAGCGATCCAGCAGCGTTTTGCCAGCGTACGGGCATGTGTTCAGAGAGTGGGAGTGTACGGGGAAGTTAGGGAGGGTAGCAAGAACACCTGGATTATCGCGTTGTGAATCTGTGGCGTGTGCAACTGCACCGTAGAACTGCACTGCACCATACAGCATTGTTGCACAATTCTGTGCTTTAGCAGTTATACGGTGCGGTTGAACACGACGCCTACTTCAGCTTGCTGCTACCCTCATGCTCCCCATACCATACTGGATGTTGGTGGACGATGGCATACACTGGTGGACGGTACATCGCTCGATCGAGCGATACTATGCCTTCCTAGTCGTCGGCACTGGCGTTCGCTCGCAAAGCTGCCGCACGCTGGTGACGCTGACGGAAATGAACACAGCCTGAAAGTTATCTTCGGGGAGAACGTGGGAGGCCCTGATACTGATGATCCGGCAATTTGTACTGGGTTCGCCAGATTAGAGAACGAAGACTTTCGCTAACGCTTGTTGGAAGTTTACGTTCGGTAAGGAGAACGAACGTCGCAGTCCACCTCCAACAGTCGCCAGGGAGCTGGTGGTACTACTCAGGTTGGGCCAGAAGACTCACCCATGTCTCTGCCAGTGAAACGAATCGTATGGAAACTACGGTGTACACTCAGCCAGTGAAGTGACGAGGGCAGCTTCCACGACGCCTTGACCCAGATGATGCAAATAAGACAAAATGAGAGCGGATTAGCGGGGAACCCTTTTCCACATGAAAGAACTTGAGGTGGGGAGAGGGATTCTTTCTCACATGCCATATAGCCCTGGTATGCCCCATCTGGAGTTCACTTTCCGGTCCGTCAATACTCATTGGATTTTATCACATCAATGTCCAAATCTGGATGTTCAAGATCTTCAGCTCACAGCAAAACGCGTTTTTGTGAGGGATAACTATTACTCGAAGTTACAATGAAATTTGTTTTGTAATCAGAAGCACAATGACACTTCCTCAACCCAGTACAGCTTTATTTCCAGAGCTTGACTGCAAAAGCAAAAGAGCGGAAAGAAACCAATACCTCAAAACTTGGAATTATAGGCTGTATTCCTGACGGGAGACCGACTGTGGTTCAATTAATAGTATTTACTTTGTCATTTGGCATTTGTGTCATATGGTTTATTTACCGCCGTACACCGTACGCATTCATACTTTTGGACTTCATCAATGTCACACTTTGTCTTCACATATTGAAGTCGCTACGATTACCCAGCGTGAAGGTAATTC